TTTTTTTTTTAATTTTTTTTTTTCAACGTTTATTTATTTTTGGGACAGAGAGAGACAGAGCATGAACGGGGGAGGGGCAGAGAGAGAGGGAGACACAGAATCGGAAACAGGCTCCAGGCTCCGAGCCATCAGCCCAGAGCCTGACGCGGGGCTCGAACTCACGGACCGCGAGATCGTGACCTGGCTGAAGTCGGACGCTCAACCGACTGCGCCACCCAGGCGCCCCAAGAGTGCGTTTCTTAACGTCAGAACTGTTGACAGTTGGGGCCAAATCATTCTTTGCAAGGGGTGGGGGCACCCTATACATTGCGGGATGTTAAACAGCATCCGTGGCCTCCACCCACTCGATGCCCGTAGGACACCCCCACCCCCGCGAGGTGTGACCATCAAAAATATCTCCAGACACTAGCAAGCGTCCCCCGGGGGCAGCATTGCCCTTTGGGTGAGTACCCCAGCTCTAGCAAGAGGAATATCCACTCTTACTAGAGTGAGAAGGAGAGTTGGGACACTGGACCGGAACCAAAGTAGCGAGGGTAAAAACAATAAAACCCGATGTTAGCAAGCATGTGGGGAGATAGTCACGGGTGGGTGGGACTATCACACAGATTTGCTGCAGGGGGTACTGTTCAGCCTAGCATTCCCAGGAGGGTTTCCCACCGTCCCTCCCTTCCCTCCTCCTTCTACTTCCTCTCTCTACCCCCCCTCTCTCTTTCATGACCACAATACCGTGCAGGAATAGGGAAAGGAACCGCATTATTGGACTGGCATATGTATGACGAATGCTCAGCGCGGGGCTCGTGTGATCTCACTGAGCCTGCCCAGAAGCCGGCCCCATCGCTAACTACCCCATTGCACAGATGAGGCCACTGAGGCTGAGGACCGTCACACAGTAAGGGACAGCGCCAGAATCGCATTTCTGCTTCACTGTGGCGCTATCCTGCCACCAAACGATGCAAAGAGGTAGCAATAAGGACAGTTTGCAGAAATGTTGGTGCTAGCGGAAAGAAGAAAAGCTATCCGAATACCCGGCCCTCAGGGGTTGATGAAATCAGTTATGGCCCAGCCCTGAGAAAGGAAAGCTGGGTAGCCGCTGAAGGCGCCCCAGACGTATGCAGGAACAAAAAGGCCAGTTATAGACCGGAAAAGTCCATCCTCTCACTCGGATGCACATCATGCGCTTTGTGCGGATTTTAAAATCTGGGGTAATGCCCCCCAACAAAGCGTTAAAGGCTGTTATTGCCTCCGGAGGCTGCCGTTGAAGGGCCGGGATGCCCAGGGGTTTCCACCTTCTGGATTCCTGCATCTTGCTGCAGTTCTGGAAATCAGAAGAAAAAAGTGAGGATTTAGGCCCCCCC